AAACCAGTCTCGGTCGGTTGGTAGTTCGGAGTGTCTAGCAGACTGCGAGAGCGGACTCGCTCTCTTCTTTTCCACCACCACCGGCTATCAGTAACCACCACCACCAGCGTGTTCGGCAACGACTTACGGTAACAACGGCAACGGTTGCAGCACCACCACCACCGCCGCCAACTCGCTTGGCTACCATCGCCAACACCTCCTTTTGCCTCCTCCTCCTTCTCCTCCTCCTCCTCCACCTCTTTGTTTCTCTCGGTCCACGTCCTTCCTTAATTCAGTCCAATGAGAGTCGCTCTTCGATTCGTCGCACCCGTCGCAGATCCGTTCGCCTCGATTTTCAGGATACCTTTTTTCCTCTCCACCGTTCGTTGTTCTCGCGACGGCCAGTGCGCGCCGCGGTTCCTCCAGACGACTCTTCGTCTCGCGATCGCGGTCCGGTCGTCGTCGTCGTCGTCATCGTCGTCGACGTCGTGCTTATCGGAGAAAGTGCGGAGAACGTTCGCAATTCCGTGGAGGAAATACGCCGCTGCATCTACGATAAGAAGGATACGCTTGACGGAGAGAACATGTTTCGTACCAGTCGCAACGCGAACCGGTTGCGCGTGCTTAAAATAGTTACCCGTGCATAGGTTACCGCTCTACCCACCGCTCGCTCGTTGGAATACGTCGCAGGACTGTTAGGTAAATATCGACAGATCTCCCCGTTTACGTTCCTCTTTTCACCATCAGAAATGATCGCTACCAGTGTAACTGCGCTTCGAAACGATTGAGCAAGATCTTGCAAACGAGGCAGCCGATCACCACCGACTACCGCGACGTTATTTCAATTCACCAGTCTGTTTCCGTTGCCATGCGATATCGGGATTCTTGCGAAACCGTTTATCTCGACCGCGTGCACGCATCTACAGTCGGCCATTTCACGATCGATCGAGTCCCCCTTTTCTATCGCTTCTTAGAAGAACGTGGAAGAGGCGACAGGTTGAATTCGTCGACACGAACGGACCGCCGAGTCCCCGCTTTCGGATCTTCTTCGCTTTTCGAACGATCGAGGATACGGAAGGGAAGTCTGTTCGATGTACCGTACACCGAGAATACCAAAAAGTGCATTCCTTTCTAGAAATACTCGCGCAGTTTGTATCGATCGTTCACGCATCCGTATGCCGATCGTCGCTTCTCATTGGACACGGGTTTTCGCGGCAGCGACAACAACACCAGGCCGAGTCAAGGAACTGCGAAAGAAAGGGACGAGTAACGAGAGAATAAGAATTCTCTTTTCGTTGGAAGATGAAGGAAAGGCCCTCGGCTAGCGACGCGACGCTAGGTAGATGTCTTCGAGGAAGGCGATTGCCATTTGTTATTGAAGTTATTCCATCGCCTCGGGCCAGAACAAGGCGAGGCTGTAAACGCGTCTCTGTCCTCTGTCCCTGGATGACGAACGTTTACATTTCAATACAGCTGGAATTTTTCTAAAACCATTCAGTCTCTAGTCGCGATGGCGCGGTGCCTGCATCGTGATTCCTCCGTTGCATAGGACATCCGCGGCATTTCAATTAGCCACTTGGACGAAGAAGAATTGCAGCTGTTTCTCCACGATTTACCGCCACGGATTTGCAATCGAACGATTCACCGTTTTCTTTTTCAACCTCGACATCCTACCGTCTTCTTCCTAAATTATATTGTTCGGAACTTTTGCCAGTTCCGCGAATGCAAAGTATTCGTGTACGCGTTAACCGGCCGCCTATGTGCGAAGCAATTAGCTCGCCGAACGAATGTTTGCGCAAATCAGAAGAGAAGGAATTCTCGAAAGATCTCCGGTCCGATCGGAGCGAAAAGCAGAGATTTAACCAAGTGGCGCTTGTCAGAGGTGGCGCAGGGTTACACGATCGTGAAAGGGAACGGGCAACGATTACCTGGAGAGGAAGTCGCGGTCGTAAAACCGATCGGTTCGGTACATACTCGTTTACAACTGCTACCTTTCGAACGTGTTTAAGTGGGGAGGGCTTCGGTTTCGATCCTGCCTGCTAACAGGACTAATCGCTCTGTTCGAAAATCGAACGCGTTTCACTTTTTCCTGCAAAGTTGCGAAGAAGCGCGAGTGCGAAGCCCGCGATAATTGCAGGTAACGTTCCAATTAGACGGGATCGACACGTGTAACGGGACGCAATTCGTAGGACGTGATTGTGCGAGATATAAATAGCCGTTTAATCGGCACCTTCTAATCACTTTTTGCAGTCACCTCTTCGCCTCCTCCTGTCTAGAATCGAATATTTTCGATCTTGCTTCACACTTTTCTCGATGGCTTATTCCTAGAAGATTCTACATACATAGGTACTACTAGTAACGGGTGGAAGAGGACCAGGTGGCGTGTTTCGAAACGACGTAGGATTAAAAATTCCTTGTTTTGGCACACGACCCCCTCCTTAATCACATCCTGACTCACGTTCATGAATATTCTTAATAACCTTAATCGAGCTTCATGGTCATAATCAACGTACGCGATTCACGGTCTACCGTAGACGCGTTAGCGGGCGGCGGCGCGTGTTCTTCCTCCTTTCGCGATCTTCTTATACGTATGTAGGTTGTAGGAAGTGGCGTAAATTTATCGTTGTTTTAATTACTACCGATAACCTTCTCTCCCGATACGTGTAAACTTGATACCCCTGTGTAGTTTCTATCGCTGGTACAATTATCTTGCAACTCTGGCCTCGGTACGCGTCTTATTTTGCTCGCGATCTGCGTAAAGAAGAAATCGCGTCCCATCTATCTATCCTGTATACGAGATATTAATGCCCGGTTCACGGCGTTCCTATCTTCAGAACACGATGACGAGTTGGAGCAGGACGCTAATCGTGGGTATCATTGGAATCTTACTTCTGGCGGCAACCACGAAGTACTCCGAGGCCTGCAACGAAGCGATCTGCGCGTGTATGCTTACGCAAAGTTGCAAGTGTGATCTTGTTACCTGTACCTGCTGCAAGGAATGCTTCTCCTGCCTTAGCTACCTCTACGACGAATGCTGCTCGTGCGTAGGTAAGCCGGCACTCCTAGTTTTTACGGTTCACCGACGATGCTCTCGAAATAAATCGTGGTATGTATTTCTTAATCGTACGTGTTTCCTCCTTCAGATCTCTGTCCGAAGCCGAACATCACCGACAATCCGTTGAGCAAAAAGTCTCACGTGGAGGATTTTAGCGAACCTGTGCCATGTCTGTTTCAAGCGTTAACAGCTGAACCGGATCCGCACGAACGCTGGCTTACATTCACGTTTCCGGTAGACCTGGACATGTCCCTCTTCACGCCCAAGCACGAGAAGGAGATTAAATATCACATGCGTGTGTATCCGTATGCGTTTATTCCCCGAAAATTTCTCGCTTCTTATCCTACCATCTTTCTTACTTTTCTTGTCCAGAGACCGCCGAGGAGGAAGTGCACCCGCTGAAACCGAACGTGAAGACGGTGAACTGCACCGTTGCGTTTATGGCGCAGTGTAACTCTTGGAACAAGTGTCGGGCGTCTTGCAAAAGCATGGGTGCTACGAGTTACAGATGGTTCCACGATGGTTGCTGCGAGTGTATAGGAGACACCTGTATCAATTACGGAATCAACGAGTCCAGATGTATACACTGTCCGTTGGACAAAGAAGAGGACGATTTGAAGGATCAGTACGACGACTACGGTCAGGACGAGGACGATTTGGCGGAGGACGAGATCGATTAACGTCCCACGTTTTCTCCTCTTCGATGTCCTTTTCGATGCCGTATTTCAAGAGTTGTGTCGACGATGCATTCCCGGTGACGATATTTCTCGCGAATCGAACTGCGAATAATCACGTCGCTTGTACTCTTTGCTCTTCGTGAAATTCGTGAGATTCGACGACGCATCGATTTTTAAAAACTGCATATATGGTTTTATAAAATTGACGACCGTTCAGTGCTTACGGAAGGACTTTTTTTTTTTTTTTTTAAACAAATATACGATAAGTGTGATGGACCTAGTTCCCTTGAAAAGGGAACACGCTCGTTGCAACATGTAATTTAAACGATCACGGTCAGTAAGGCTGAAAGCCATCGACTGTAGACGCATCTAATGGTATCGCGTTTAAGTTTAGCTAAGCAGACGCAAGAAGAAACCGCGGCCAGATATAGCGGCGGTTAGGAACTGACTGGTTTCTAGCGTGACTCCAGCGGCATAGCACGCGAAAGGTCACCGCTCGTTTTTAAAACTGTCGAATATGTATGTAAGTAGCCCCCTGTAGTGTCGAATGTTTTATTTTTCTGTGCCATATGAATCAAATTGTATACATGTATTAAATCACTCGCAACCGATTGACGCGTATACTCTCTATACGTCAATTATAATATATCGTTCGGATAAAAACCGTTCTCCGTGTTCCTCTAACGTCTATCCCCCTACCACGTGTTTCTCGAATCAGTTCACGTCTATTGAAACGATAAAAGCCAGGCTTATGGTTGAACGACAGCGTAAGAACGGCGGTAAAAGAATGATAGGGGGGTATGCTCTTTAGAGGAGCACAGATCGTTTGTACGATCGATCGACGATGTGCACACATGATGAATAATCAAATCACAGGGAATGTAATTTATACGATATGGTTTAATACTGCACTTGGTTTATGCCAATGCACGATATGGAGACAGTATGAAGGAACGAATAGGAAAATGTTCAACTTTTTAATTTCCAATTCATGCGGTTATATATATATATAACAACATTAGAGTAATATCGATACTTAAAATTCCATTAAAGCTTTACCATATTGAACGAAGAGTGGAACTCGGGAACAAAATTCCGGTAAAAAAAAAAGAAAAAAAAGAAAAGAAAATTACGACGAACAATTTTCCCCTGAAAATTATCGACAGACTAGAAAGGGGAAACGGAACCGACAGCAAATAGTCGTTCGTGAATAAATTACCGCAGACAATCGAAAACCTTCTAGTTCGCTCTATTCTTCGAATGATTACGTACCGATCTATCGCGCGATATACAAACACACTCATTCAACTCTACTTTGTTATATTAAACATCAAATGCCGCGTTTTACGCGTCTTTTCAACGATATCACGCACATTAACTCGTATATGCATTGTTAACGCGCGTTACTGCATCATCACGCTTATAAATATAATAAAACGAACGATTTTGATCGCTCTCGTTTAATAAACGGCGATAGCATTCGAAAAAAAGGAAAGAAAGTATTTATACGGGTGGATGTTCGTCTTGCGTTTCATTGCTTTCCGGTAATTTAATGAAAGGCAAATCGCTGCCGATCCACATTGAATATAACTGAGATCTCGCGCATTCCTGAAATTGTTAATGTTAATTATTTTAAATAAATACTCGACAATCTTTCGTACATCGAAGCTAATATATGTGTACAAAACCATCGTTGATAATGATAACAATAATCATTCTAATATATAATGATGCATTACCCCACCACCAGCGCTCTCGGAACCTGAACGACTATGGGCTGATATGCAAGAATCTGTCGAAGAGCTGCTTTTTCGTGACGGCAATACGTCTACAGTGCCTAGTAATGGGAAGATCAAACGTTATACACGGTCCCCTATGTGTGTGTATGTTTCTTTTGCTTAACGTGTACCAACTCACCAAGTTCGACTTCTCTATGATCGCTATGCGAATGAATGCTATCTTTGCTGTCCCCGTGACTACCACTGGTTCCACTTTGTTCTATACAATGTACAGTAAATAACTTATTGAAGTAACAACGAACGAATAAATTTCGAATTATACCTGAATCTCTATGCTCTCCACTGTGCACGCTTTGATCGCTCTCGCGTCGTCCCGATTGATCAGAATGATCGCTCGAGTGAGAATCGTGCGGCCAACACCTCGAAGAACCAACTTTACGAGATCCTGTCCAAATAGTCGGATCGTAGTTTGACTCGAAATTGCACGTTGTTAAAGTAACGCCCGGAATATGCTGGTTAGTATAGGCAGACAACTGATTTAGAGGCCTAACTCCTATACGAATATTAAGACAATTCAACGTATAACAAGTTTCATAGGTAACAATTACCGTTGTAATCGAAAATTCTAACAAAGAATATTTACTTTCTCTTGCAATACCTGGTTTACAAGAAAGCAATTGAATTGCTTCTTGTAAGCCATCTTGACTAGCCATGGTAGATGTTTTCCATATTGTGTCTGGTGTAGTGGATCTACTTCTGTCTTGTTGAGGAACCCTTAATCGCGATCGAACATCTTGCCGTGGCCAATCTGTAATATTTCGACAGTCCCATGGCATAGACCACCTTCTCATTGCACTCTCCGAAACTTCACCCGACATTTCCGCAGCTGCAGTTTCAGACCATCTCCTCTGAACCTTGATGAAAAAGATTGTCAAGATGTTGCGGAACGTAAACAGGGGAAACAGTGTACAGGAAACCCCGAAAATTACCTGCAGAGGAAATAAAGGATACGGTAAAGGTGATCTGTGACAATTTTGTACAGCCTGTTGCGCAGACGACGAAGGTACCAGTGGTGGTGAACTGTACAGTCTTTCGAAACACTGCTGAAGAGAGGCGATGTCGCATTCAGCGGTACCACTTTGAGAACAAGAGCATTCTGCCATGCCTCCTAAAGAAACCATTACACAAGGTATGGTAAAAGGAAGGGCACGTTAAACAGTGGTACATTTCACTACTTACCTAGACAATCACAGCAGGCAACACAAAACTGATATTGTAGATTTATAAATGTCAATAGATTATCTCTAAGTATATCCTAGAAATATAATATTGCTAGAAATTCTAACGGTACTTTTATAACGCACTTAAACTAGCTCAAAGTGATACATACGTGCTTATCCCCTTCGTTTTCTCTTGCTTCGTGGTCTCTTAATGCAGAGATAATATGATTCTTTACCGTATTGCTGGCTACATAGGTTGCTCTTGTGAGTTCTTCCCAACCGGCCAGACACTGTCCTGTTAATCTATATTGTGCCAATGTATCATGAGCGGACAAAAGTGTTTGCAGCGACTGAGCTAACTTTGTACCTGCCGTGCATAGGCCATTGAGAGTCTGTGTAAAAAAAAATAATTTGCTTATGCATTCCTGGATGTAAAAGTTAATACATATACACAAACCTGTAAGTACACTAGCCAGTTACCAAGACATTCGTTCACTTCAAGCTGAAGTTTAGGTACTTGATTGTCGTTGGACTTTGGTTCTGTTCCACCTTCTGCCATATTTACATTCTTTTAAGTCTTGGATTTTATAGCAAATTTACTCACCTAATTGTATAACAAAATATAAAAATCTTTTACCTTTGTTACTAGAGATTACCTTTAAACACTGTGATTAAAGAGAAACGTGTAAACTACAGAAGGAAGGTGGTGTAATAATGAATGTACAATAACGATAACGTTTTAGAATAATAATTTTATTGTAATAAATAAAACGTTAAGGATTGGAAATAACAAATGCGATAACAAAATGTTCGTAAATCAGCCACTTACATGTTTTCTTGTTACACACTCGGTAGATTCTGAACGCTAGATTAGTAGAAGAAATCAGGATCACAGATTTCGCGTTGGTCGCGAAGCACAGCTATCGGCACCATTGCAACCCGTCTCGTGCATGCCTCAGCACTCAAATTAAACGATGCAAAAACCGAAATGAATCCCGCGTACGCGGTTACGCTCATCTGTAGTTGTATCTTTCAACGAGACATTTAATACGAAATGTCTTGACCAGATGCCGCCATTTGTACTCTTACTGTACGAAGAGTCGAACAACCTCTCGAGCCTAGTGAACTCACAATCAGTGACGCGCAACCTATGCTTCAAATTTTCTAATGGAAAGTACAAAGTATATCTGTAATATTATTTAATCTTTGTTCATCTCTTTTTTACACTTTCGCCGTATATTTTCACGGTAAAGAGTACCGTGTTTACACATTTCTTTAAACATAACAGTATCTATCGTAGTATTTTCAAATACTGCAAGTGCAAGTGTACGACATTAATAAACATCTGCATGAAATTAATGTTAATATATGGTAATCGGCGACGATAAACGTAGAATAGAAACTTTCGCTGGCGGTAAAAGAGAAGAATTTCATTACAGCTAGTTTGGACATCAACTGGAGAAATTTTTGGGCACCACTGTTCTAGACCAAACTTGTCCCAAGTTGGCTCGAGCAAGCTGCATCATGTTTTCAGCACACTTTCTACACAAATTAACGTTTAATCATATTATCGACGTACAAGTTAGTAACGGGTCACGGTAAGAAATCTTACGATTTACCGACGTGTACATTACGCATTCTTTAAAAACACCCAATTGTCATCGGTCTATCCTTTGAAACTTCTTTGTCGCGCAGAATCATCGTAAAGCGTTTGCAACTTTCAACGATACACGTAAGAACGAGATATTATTAAAAAAGTCCAATAGTACCACGATGAATCAGCACGAATGAAAAGAATGTAAAAAATGATCTCGATTCGGCGTGAAATATCTGACAGAAAAGAAAAGAAGACCATCCCTAACGACGATTTCTTAACGTTCAATCTCGCGGATCAGGTCGAGGTAAGCTCTGTTTAAACGGAATAGCTCGTCTTCTCCTGTTGGTCAGCCGAATCGTCGCGTCTTTCGTTTGTTTGAGAAATCGAAAGAAGACACGAGGCTCGGCGAGGTGAAAGGGGCCCGAGAGCGCCTGGTGACGTAGATCGCGGGTCGGAAGGAGGGAAAAGAAGAGAAAAGGAGAGGCGAGAAAGGTTGGAAGGAGAGAAGTGGAAAGGCGATCGCGCGCGAGGGACACGGAGGCTGAGGTGGGGAGAGTGATGTGGTAAGAGAGATAGAAGGGAGGGGCATAACGGTAAAGTCGGTGTAACCTTATAGCAGTGTTTTTCAATACTTTTTTTCTTTACTACCCTTTTGCGGTGTCCCGTAGGCACAATGGGGTGATTCTTAACGCGTGGGAGCTACTATCGTAATAAATTCAGGACCACGAAACAATAAAGTCCATAGAAACGTTCAGCTCCGAAAATCCATTGTCTCGCGACTCGCGAATTTTTTCTCCCTTTAAGAGAAGCATTCGTTTACTTATAGACTGTACAGACAAATGGGTACCCTTAATTGAAACGTCGTCTAAATTTGTCGCATGTTTTTCGTCACTCTCTGACACACATTTGTCACTCAGACAGAGAGAGAGAGAGAGAAGTAAGGGAAAAAAGGTGGGGGAATGTACAATATCAATGTAAAGAGGGAGATAATGCAGTCAGCGATGTGAACGAGAAGGAAACATTTTTTACGATAACAGATAAGTTACTCCTTTCGAGTAGGTGTTTTTGGGAAACACTGATTCGCAGTTTGGTCGTCATCGATCACGGCCGTTGGCTTTTCGAAAAAAATGACAGTGGGCAGCTGGAGGATTTCATGGAAACGTCCTCGCGGGACGATTACACTACGCATCGATCGTACACGTGCGAGCCACGCACAAGGAAGCAATTACCTCTTCTAAATCAATCGTTACCCCCGCGGAACCACTCCGCTAATGCACAACTTCTGTAATCGTGTGCAAGTAAAAGTTGTTGTAGGCTGTTTTACCTTGGCAGCGTTACAGATACGAACAGCGTATGTACGTACACGGTGTGATAATAATGTATCGCGTTCGCGGAGAACCGCGGCAATCTTCTCGATCTGGGGAGTGTAGACTGGAGGTAGAGTCGAACGATGTCATTTCTTCGAACGATCGATAAAACTGGAATAACAAGTCGCTATTAAGGTACGAATATCGAGTCGGAATAGAGCTGACTCCCCACGTGGAGAATAAGGAGTTCTAATTCTGAGTGGAACTAACGCTTGTTCAATGGGGGGGGAAAGAGCGGCAAGAAAAGTGCGGTGGTGTAAGCTATTCTCGTTTGCCGATTGTAAGGCGAAAAGTGGAGAGGAACGTAGTCGGGCATAGGTTCCCCCATAGTAGCCGGTTGGATGCACGGTACATGCAGCCACGGTACACCGTACTTTCATAATGTCGAAGGAGTACAAGAGACCCGAGGCCTGTGGCACTCGACGGACGGCTAGTGAAGGGAACGGATCGTGATACTCGGTCGATACTCGACCAAACGGTGAAGAAAAATGCCGTCCGAAAGTGGCGTTTAACGGTGTTCGGTAAAAGGTGAACCGATATTTCCCGCAGATCGATCGAATTACCAGTGATTTTCGAGCAACAGACGCCTCTAACGGCGGAACTGGAGGAACGGTTTCGCGGTGCCCGTACGGGCAACGAAGACACGCTTCCGATCTAACCTGGTGGTGCCGAAAAGTAACGGGTCGAATGGATTGGGTGAAACGATGAAAGGGACGATCGCTTGGTTACTCGTTCGATCTGTGAAAGAAGAAGACGCTTCCGTCAATTAGATCGTAGAAGTTTCAGTTTGGTTCTCCGGAATATACGTATATTCTCGTTGGGGAAACGAGG